CCACCCTAAAACCACCAATTAGTTTTCTTCAGAGATGAACAATGATTGATCAACCAAATAACATAGCGTGCCTTTTGTCCTTGCAATAAAAAGATACTCTTGTTTCCTGATGGACTAGAAAACTAAAGAGAGTTCAATGTACGAAACAGTATTAAAACCAATTAATTCTTAACTCAACTGTTTTTCTTTTTTCAATGCTTGAAGATGTAAAGGCACTGCGAGTAAGAAAATGAACTTGCAATCATCAACAAGTAAATACCATAACAAGTCACCTCCAACAAAACGTCAATTCTTGAAATCAACAATAAAATCATATACAAAAGAACAATAGTCAGTGCTCTAGATTTGAGGTTAAGCAAGAAATCGACCACAACCACGAAGATTTGTATTGACAGATGGATTAAAGTGACTACACCCAGGAGATGGATATAGTTAAAAGATATGAGACCTATGGAGGAAAAGAGAGGAAAAAGATTGGGAGGATTGCCACCAACCCCAAAGCCTATGACGGCAACACCATCGGTGGCTAACATAACATCTAATCTAACAAATCTATTGTTTGACAAAAAAAAAAAAGCCAAGGGCAGCATTTGGCGGGGGGAGGTTTTTTTAAACTACTTTTCTTCTTCAGGGGCTATATTTTTTTTTTTTTTTTTAATTATTTTCTTGTGGTTTTTCTAGTTGAACTTGGAAGCAATCTAGCTACCATGTTTACTTGTTTTGCTCCATCTTTCTGTATCATTATGTCACTTTTTTTTTTCTTCCATATTTTATTCCTCAAATGGGCTTCATTTGTTTTCAGTTATAGTAATAAGATTAGCCAAGATTGAGCTTTCTAAGAATTTCTACCACCCCACATGGAAAATAGATCACTACCCTTAATTGACACTAATCATTACCGTTTTATTATAATTTGTTGTGAACTCATCATTTTTGGACATTTTACTATTTTAAACTAAATTAAAGAATAGAAATTTTTTAACTCGAGATGCAACATGTCGAAGGAGATCCACTCTCCAGACGACAATCCACAGTACCACTCATTGTTAAGTTCGTTAAATAGTGCTGCATTCCATGAGCACAATCCATGGATATCCAAGCAAGAAATAGTGTAAAAAAAAAAAAGTGATATATATAGCAGTAAAAAGATATTCGTCTCTGTCTTTTTGGCCTGCAAAAAATAATGAACATGTTTTGATTGCGGATGCTTCCGGACTCCCAACGGTACTCTTGGTGACGCAATAGCGACCTCGTTCTAATCTTACAAGGAAACAACAAAATAAGAAGCTTTTGCTTTCATCTTTTTTATTTATGAAGAAAAAGAAACTCGCCTAAAATTTCACCCACCATTTCCCATTCCAACAATTCATGAAGAACACAATTATGGTAAAATTGTATTGAAATAACCAAATTGACCTAAGAGATTCGTTTCATAGGGTAATGCTATGTTTATTTACCATTAAAACTATTATTTTCTTACTTTTCAGAAGTCAATAATTTGAAAGGGAAAAAGTACTGCAATATGGGTATTGGGAAATATACATATATGTACTCTTATCAATGATGGTCTGAAAAATGGACCTGGCTTCTTTACCCTTTCACTTTTCATACACTCTCATTCCTTCGTATTTGTGCGGTCACGATTAAACCACGTTAACATTTTATATTACTATAGTTTTTTATCTTATTATCTCTATAAAAAAAAAACTAATATAAAATGTTGACGTGACTTAACTGTACAAAATAGGAGGAGATAAGAGTGTATGGAAAGTGGGAGGGTACATAAGCCAGATCCCTGAAAAATTGGGACCTCTTCAAGTGAAACATCGAACAGGTCATTTTAGAAATTAACTAGTGTACATCAATATCGTCTTAAGTTTGAATTCCGTTTAACCTCTGTTAATTGGTTTTTTTTTTTTTTTATCACAAACAGTTATGAAATTATATAAGTTTTCATCTTAATCTTTGAAATTTAAGATCGATCAATGTCATCCATAAAATTGACTATCACACATTACAATCATTCTCCCGTTTAAATATCATCAAAGTTGCATAAATTGCTAACTCTATCTCTATTGTACATCAATCAATTCATTCAATAAAATCAGGTTGTTCCCAAAATTTAGCCTTGCATTTTCAACTATTCATCTGTACATATGAGGGTAGTCAACTTTTTCCTCCAACGATAAGGGACATAATTCCCACCCTCAACTTTATAATTTGTTAAACTTTTTTATTTCTTTAAATTATTTGTTGCTAACAATTTTAGAATTAGTTTTTGTATAATCTGTCTTGTTTTATTTTTACCAACATTTTAATGCAAAAAAATTCAAATTTCGAAATAAGAAATTGATAGTGATATATGAGAAAACTTTTTTTATTTTTTTATTTTATGGATTAGTGAGCAAATGGATGAGTATTTTTAGAGTTTTGGAGGAGTTTTGGTGCTAGGTCAGATTTAGATTAATTAGTTAATATTCTTTTGACGATTGGATTTAAATTTGAGCAGTTGGATCTTTTTTATTACCGTTAGAATTGATTGAATTGGATTTGAGTCGTGAGATTTAAAAAGGGACGTAGCTAAGCGAGCCACATTGGGTCAAAACTTAGGAGGTGTGCCAGATATTGGATGCCAATAGTGCTGAAATTTGGACCGTAGAAAGCATGCTTTATGTGCGCTCGCCCGCAGAGACTCGTCTACCATGTTGCATCTGTTGACGGGACCCACATGGGTTGGTCTTCACATGTTGCAGTAGACAAGCTAGGGTCCTCGACCCACTTGTTTCTTTATCCATCTGCGCACCAAGGGGGCCCAAATTTGCACCTCAAACCCAAAATCCCAAAATTCTCACCCCAAAAATACATTCCTATGAGAGGTACTTGGCCCAAATTTTGGGTTTTTTTGTTTCTCGCCCCCCTTGGAAACAGCCTCACAGAACAAATATTACTTCACTGTCTCTCTAAAATTCATTTCCTCTTTTCGTTTTCTCTACGTTTCTCAATTATTTCAATGTTGTGGGGCATTTTTACTCACCACTCTTAAGTGTTGGTAATGTTCATCACCCTACTTATTATCATTAGATGAGTTTAAATTTGAGATATGTGTCTATGTACTACATAGATCTCGAAATTTCAACTCATACAACGGTAATAAGTAGAGTGTGAGCATCACCATCTCTTGAAGGTGATGGGCAAAAATTTTACCATAAGTAGAGTATGAATAGATAGATCCGGCCACCCCATCTCTAAACCCCAACCAGTTTCTACCCCTCTCCAGCCCTTGATCGCCACCTCCCTTACCACCTACAAAGTGAAAATTAGGAGAACCACCTCCGACCACCCCATCTCGACCCACTATTCATACACACCCTTATCCCCATAACATTCCACCATTAAAAAGACCCCAAAGAAAAATATGATAATATTCAAATTGTGATTATAAACAATATATCACTCACTCAATGGTCCAACGCAGTTAGATTTGACTGTCCAACAGTTTCGGCGAAACTCGAGCATGCTAGAAGAACTATGTGGAAGGGGCAGCTGTTGTGTGGCGGGGCAAAGGTTGGGGTTAGGTAGTGATGGCTAAAATCTTTGGGTTTCCTTTTTTTTAGCTGTTGTGTGGCGGGGCAAAGGTCGGGGTTAGGTAGTGATGGCTAAAATCTTTGGGTTTCCTTTTTTTTTTTTTTTTTTTTTTCCGAGTGTAGGAAGAGAATTGTGAGATAAATTTGAAATTTTAATATAAAACTAAGTTGCGTGTAAAAATTGTATGGATTTAAATAGAATTTTCCTTAGACTAATGTTAATTTTGCAAATTTTTTAGCTTGATGTCAAAACCTAAATTCAAAAGAAGAAAATATATTTTGACAACTAACTTTCCACCTTTGAGCGGAAAATACACAAATAACAACAAAAAAACGTAAGTTCACACTCACATTTTCTTGTAGGGGCTTTTAGATCCAGGTCTAAAAATGTAAAGTGTTTTTAGGAGTGAGTCCAGTTATCTAATTATATGTTTTTATTTATTTTATACTCATTTTATATTTTCTAAAAATATTAAAAATCAATTAAAATCTTCTAATATTATGCATTTTCCAACTCCAAAAAAAAATATTTAATATCTTATAACAAAAAAAACTAATATACTAACATAAATTTATCTGCAAAGCATTCTACCCTAACTCAAGTAACAAATATATGAATGTATATAATACCTATATGTGAGATATGAAACCTAATTAAAAGGTAGAAAAAACATAACATACCTACAAGCAAGACACATTAATATGTGACAGGTTGATTATAAAAAACGAATCTGTCATATAGGTAGATAAATATAATTAACATGTGATATATAGGTTGATTATAAAAATTAAAAATAAAACTTATAAATGGGGTTTAAAACAGGAGAAAGAACGAGAAATAACAAAAAGATAAATAAAAAAAAATAAGCAAAGAGATAATTGGGAAGAAATTTGATTTTTATAATAAATCTTATCATTGAACAGATAACTATTGATAATTAAATAATTAAATATAACAAATTGGACTTATTTTAATAAACTGGACTATTCCTACTATTGGCTAAAAAAATTGGACTTATATCAAGTTTCCCCTTTCTTGTATAATCTCTAGTAATTAATAAAATACTCATTGTTAATAAAAATTCTATAAAATTATCAGTTTAATCCTCTAATTAAAATAGAATATGAATAAGAAATATAGAGCAGAAATGTAAACTCTCTTCCTCTCTCCTTCTATTTCAAAAACAAAAATAAAAAAATTTCTCACACACTTTGTCTGTGCCAATATGTTAGTATATAATAATAGAATTTCAAAAGTCCATTCAAATCCAAGGGTAAATAAGTAATTCCACGTACTAATACTATTATTTATTTGCCTGGCAGTTTTTGTCTCATATATGCACTAATTCAGTTGCTTTAACAGAGAGAAAGAGTGGGAAAGAGAGAATCCCACGTACATTTCCAAAGACGAACGCCACGATGCTCTGTATTCAGTAGCTTGAATGAGTCGACAACTTCGGAGGATCACCATACTGCTATCTCATCCGCACTCAAATCTCTCTTTCCACTGCTATTAAACGAGCCGAACCGGGTCTGACTCCGACCCACACACAAACGGAGCCCAAGATTCTGCATGGATGTTGAGATACTGAAAAGTGATCGAATTTGAGAGGTGGGTTTATCGGGGATCGTGGTTAAGCAAAATGGGTATGTCGCAAACCGATCAAAGAATGGAGGGTTGGCTTTATCTCGTTCGTTCGAATCGGATTGGGCTACAGTACTCCCGCAAACGCTACTTTGTTCTTGAAGGCCACTCTCTCAAAAGCTTCAAATCAGTTCCCGTTTCGAACAATGAGGTTCTTGCTCCTCCCTTTCTTTGCCTTTCTAGAAAAAATAAATGACTAGCAAGAGTTAAAGCTAATGAAATTTATCTGCAAGTTTTCAAGTGATTGGCGACTTTTTGGGTTTTTAGTTAGTATTGTATTAATAGAATGGTTTCCGAGTTTTGGTCGTTATTGGCAGGAATGTGCTGTTTGAAAGCCGTTGATGGAGCAATCAAAATTATGCATCGATCATACTGACTTTTGTTGGAGAATGATCTGTTTTTTTTCCCTTTAATTTTCATTGGATCACTATGCAGTTGATTATGTGAATATATTACATTTAAAAATGTATATATGCTTGTGAATATATCTATGCGTTTAAAGTCTGTAACATAATGATAACTGCTTTGGATGAGCATATGAGATACTTGAAGAGTGTTAGAATGCAACTACATCTATGGAGGGCTTCAAACAGTAAGTGTGATGGGGATTATTAGAGTTTCCCCTTAGCTCCGCTTCCAAAGAACATATAAATCTCCCTTTGGAAATACTAATACATTTGGAAAAACTAGACAAGTTTTATTTTGAGGTACAAGGAAATAATCTTCCTGTGAAAACTTGACTGAAAATCAAGAAGTGAGAAGTAAAAAATTGATAGAATTTTGCAAGAACTCATTAGGTAGTTTGACACTTTTGTGGGCTCAGTTGCCTTTTCTTTTTTCTTTCCTTGTACACGCTTTTTCGTACACCCTTGGCTTGCAGAAGTTGGTAATGCCTTTGTTGGAATTTGGCCGTTTGAATCCTACTTTTACTACTGTCCTTTTCATTTAAAGAGCTTTTTGAATTTTTCAATTGGTATATATCATTTGTTGTTTTTAGGATTATGTCCATCATTAACTCAAGAAAAAATGAATTATTTGTGCTTCTGCTTATTTTTATATTAACACAAACTGAATGAGGAACGCTTGAGCTATAATTTGGCCTACAGACAGTTTGAGTGAGAACTGTTTTCTGTCCTTTTGTGATATAGATTTTACAACATTATTAGGTAGGCATAAGTGCAAAAAAGCCTTGATATTTTCCCACATGTTCTGTGTATCAGGATCCTGTAAGCAGTGCTATCATAGACTCTTTCATTCAAGTGACAGACAATGGACGTGAGAGCATTCAAAGAGAAGTATTAGTCTTACAGACTGTCCTACTTTAGCATTGTATTCATATTTCTTGATTATTTTAGCGACAGTGATATATGCATATAACACCTGTTTGTACAACTTATAGGTATTCTTCATTTTCACACTGTATAATACGTCAAATCACAATGATCAACTTAAGGTATGGTAACTATCCTCAACCAATTGTTTCTCTTACAAATTAATGTCAAAATATTGAAAAACTTTAATTTCGTAGTTGGGAGCAAGCAGTCCAGAAGAAGCAGCAAGGTGGATTCATTCCTTTCAAGAGATCGCTTTAAAGGTCTTAACTTTCAAATCCTCAGTATTTGTAATTTACTGTAGATGATTATGCTAAATATGAGTCTAATGTCTATGCATGTATGCAGGGTGGTCCAGATCTAAACGATAATATTTTGCATGGTTCCAATAGCATATGGCAGTCCTTTAGGTGTGATATTTTGTTATCTACTGCTCTTATTTAGTTTTCTTGTTCACCTCATCATGCACATTGGTGTGAGTTTCTTCATTTGGAAGTAACTTTGTTTAACTATGCTTGGCGGCTTTGGTAAACTGGTCGTGGGCTATGGTTTATCTTTGTGGCTCTGATATGATTCTACATTTTCCCCTTTTTTTTTTTTTTTTTTTTTTCTGGGTACTTTTAAAGTATTCATGCACGCAGATTAGGTGGATCTAGTAGCAGAAGTCGCATTAATTCTATAGACTGGAGCCTTTGTTCTTCTACACAAACCGATGCTGTGACAGCCGATGTAATTGCTCCTTCACCTTGGACAATTTTCGGGTGTCAGAATGGTAAGAGTTATTCTCCTCTGTACATTTTGAAGTAGTGAAACTGTGTGCTGAACTTTGTTTATTCTCCTCTCTGCATTTTGAAGTAGTGAATCTGCATGCTGAACTTTGTTACTGTAATACAGGTCTACGACTATTTAAAGAAGCAAAAGATAGGGATTCTCATGGGAAGGTTGGTAGGTTTAATATTCACTACTTGGTTGTATGAAAGATTCGTTCTATTGATTATGTTCCTACCATGAGCAGTGGGACGATTATCCTGCCATAATGGCTGTGGGTGTTGTTGATGGAACTTCAGAAGGCATTTTCCAGACACTTATGTCCCTTGGTCCCTCAAGATCAGAGTAAGTTTGTTGAGAACTTTATGTAGACTGTGGAAACAAAAGATGAGAAAAACTAATCTGAAACTGAAACTATAATTGTTTGAAATTTTCATGCTCAAAAAAGTGTCCAACACAATGGCAATGATGCTGCACAAATCCGAAAATGGAAGCTCCAAAACAAATCCAATATGGAAGCTCAAAATACTTTAATAAAGTCAAACATTATGTTAAAACACTTAAGACCAACCACCCACCCCCCTATACATTGTTAGAAACGATGAGGCATAAACTACACCCTGTGCCTTTGTGTACAAATTGTCTAGGCTTACATCATGATCTCCATCATAACTCCTTAGCCTTTATATTACCGGTGGTTTCATTTGAACGTTGAAGCGGTAACCTATATGATGTAGTGAGTGGTCTGCCTTTTGTCTTTGTATTTACTCCTCTTGACCATATCTGTATTATACATGTATCCATTAATTTCTTATCCAAATTGCCTTATATGAAGCATTTTTGTAATTGAACTTAACAATGATAAACCATGTTGTAGATGGGACTTCTGTTTCTACAAGGGAAATGTGGTTGAACACCTTGATGGTCATACGGATATCATTCACAAGCAGTTATACAGCGATTGGTTACCATGGTCAGGCCCCTGGCCTACAATAATTTTGAATTATGTTCTGAAGCAGTTGTGTAAGTGTTTCTTTTTATAGTTACAAAATCAACATTTCATATATTGCAGGGGAATGAAGCGAAGAGATCTATTGTTGCGGCGTTATTGGAGAAGGGAAGATGATGGGACATATGGTAGTATTGAAATGGTGGTTTTTTTTTGTATTTTGTTTTTTTTTTTTTTTCCTCTTTTGCATTTAATTTAAAAGTATATTGATACCGAAATTAGCTTCCTTTGGTGTCTTCTTTCACAGTTATTCTCTACCATTCTGTGTTTCCTAAGAGGTGTCCACCGCAGAAAGGCTACGTCCGTGCCTGCCTTAAAAGTAATGTATGCTTAGATTTTACATATTTATAAATCGCCTAGACTTTACAAGTGTTTAATATAGGATAGTTGTCCGGAGCTTGGACGTTTAATAATATGAGTAAGAAGCATTGGGGTATTCATTCCTTCAACGAATTTGCGCGTGTGTGTGTGTGTGTGTACTCGCGTACAAGAGTATGTGCATGAGTTGAACTTGATACAGCGTCAACGTGGTAGTATTATAACTTTGGTGCATATTAGTGTGGATAGGTACAACTTTTATGGTTGTGATACATCCAGAGTTGATAAAAACTATATTCTCCTTCCACTTCCTGTTTTAAGTTTAAATTTAATTTGTACAACTGCCTGTTCAAGATTTTATTGTGAGTTCTAGTGGTTATTGCTTAGTGGATCTTTTCGGCTGGAGGTGCATAATTTGAAAGTTAATAATGGAAAGATTTTGAGACATTTACCACTCTTTGCAGGTGGAGGATATGTTATAACCCCTTTGAACCAAGGGAAACAATCAGTTGTGAAGCACATGCTTGCTATTGATTGGAAATTCTGGAAATCTCATCTACAAAGCTCTGCAGCCCGATCTATGACCATCAAAATGCTAGGGAGAGTTGCTGGTATTTCTATACTCTTGATTGATAGAGCTTTATATATTTACAAAGCTCTTCATTGTTTACATTATTTTGAGGTCTACTTATTGAATCAAAAGAATAAATTTATTTGTAGCACTACGGGAGTTTTTCAGAACACAAGGAAACTATTCGTCCTCAGAATTTTCATTGGGAGAGCTAAGGAGAAACTTTAGTTTGCAACAGAATGAAGGGGAAGGTGAGGCTGATGCTCCAACAGTGATTGGGGATGGAAGGACGAAGGAAAATTTTGCTGAAGAAGTAGAAAAAGCACCTTCCGAACATTCTAGTCTTGTTAGCTTGAGTGATGCTTCTGATGAATTCTTTGATGTGCCAGAACCACCATACAGTGATCAATCAGAAACTGACTGGATTCCTGATTTTGGCTCAGAAATGCACTCACAGGTAAACGATGTGGGCATAAATTTGTGACATTTAGACAATCATTCCACTTTTATGCTCCTTTACTTCTACGCGGTTACTAGGTGGTTCTTGTGTGTTGCCACCAATGTTCTCTCTCCCTCTCGTGTATACAATTTTCATAAAAACTCATTTTGGGTCCAAAACATCATCACGTTGACCTCTGTACATAGTCTTCCATAGTTCAGTCCACTACATCCTGCACTGCTCATAACTTGTTATAGAAATCTTGACCTGCTTAGTTACTTGTATTTGTGGCTTATTCTCATGTCTTTTTACCTTCTAAAGTTCCACACTAGTGCTTGTATCTATCTTGTTGGTTTGCCATCTGGATGGTGGACCCACAATTATTTCGTATTCTACTATGCTCTTCACATGTGGGTCTTCAACCTTTAGAGCCCAACATGTGGAATATAAGTTATATAACTTATATTAGGAGGTTGCGGTAGCTGGGATTTTGGCTCAGGATCTTCTGCTTTCGTACCTTGATAAGCTTGTTAGTTTGCTTAAGCGGTTAGGATGTGGACCAACAATTATTTCGTATTCTAAGAGTTTCTAACTTGGCTCTGATTGCACCTTGCAGAACATACATCATCCCAAGTTGTCAACTGCTGCTGGTTTTGTGAAAAGATTGCATGATCTTGCAGGTTATTATGGTGTTTAATATTTTTGTCTTAACATTTTATGCCTTTGTATATCGCCCTTGTTGATTTAGTTTTCTGTGTGATTGTGTGCTGCAGTTCAGAAGAGGGGCTATGTGGACCTACAAGAGATGGCGACGGAAGACATTACCTGCCACTATGGGTCTACCCTTCCAAAAGATTCAGCTTGTAATTTGGCTTCCAGTTGGACTTCAGCAGATCCTTCTACTTTCCTAATTCGTGGCAATAGTCATCTGGAAGACCATAAGAAGGTTTGGACGGAAATGTCTTAGATATAGTTGTCTAGCATGATTTTTTGGAAAAAATTGCTCACGTTTTACAATTATGTTCATCATACCAATTACCAAATGGTTTGCAGTCGAGCTTTGAGGTTGTATATCCTTTGAATGCTGATTTGGGTTGCATGTTCTTGGTATGCTGATTTATGTGTTGCTTTATGATCAATGAATTTTAGGTGTCGGCTGTGAAATTTCTTTCAATATCAGTTTCCTTTAGTAACCATGGTGTTAATAAGCGTAAAGTTTTCATAATAATAGTTTCCAACTGTAGTTCATAGGAATTTCTAATCCAGGGCTCTTTAAATGTTCTTTTTCTTTCTCCTCTTGAATGTTGCTGATACGTCAGTTGGCAGTTGGAGTTTTAACCTGCGTTTCTAGTCCTTATCTTTCACTGCTTTCTTTTGTTCAGGTCAAGGCTAAGGGCACGCTGATGCAAATGGTAGCTGCGGACTGGCTAAAATCTGACAAGTGTGAAGATGATCTTGGAGGTCGCCCAGGGAGCATTGTTCAGGTCTTTATTTAACTGAGGATTTGTGGTTTTTTCTTTAATTCCTAAGATTTTTCCTAGCCAGTTATCACATATAGGGTTAACTGAAAACATAGAATTAAGAAAAGGACGAATGTAATTTACACACTTTTCACAATCTTGTGTTTCTGCAGAAATATGCGGCACAGGGTAGGGGAGAATTCTTCTTCATCGTGAACTTTCGGGTAAAATCCATCTTATATGATTTTTTTTTTTTCTTCCTATTATTACTATTTGCATGTTATTGCCTGTCACCTATCAATATTTACGAAATTATCTGTTTTGACTCAGATCCCAGGTTCAAGCTCAACTACATATAGCCTGGCACTATACTATATGATGAATTCTCCAGTTGAAGATACACCCTTGCTAGAGAGTTTTATCAAGGGGGATGACGCCTATAGAAATTCAAGGTTTAAGCTGATACCATACATATCTAAGGTTGGTACATGCAATGATTGCTGTAATCCTGTTGGAATGGCATACTCGGTCTTCTCCCGTCATCTTGTTGAAAAGAAAATGCATCTTTTACTGGTGTTGTTCAAGTATTTTGATCTCTAACTAAGTTTAATTCTGTTAAACCTTTCTCTCTCCGTCTAACTAAGATCAATTAAATTTTAACTGTTACTTCTGTCCTCAGGGTCCATGGATTGTGAAGCAGAGTGTGGGAAACAAAGCGTGCCTCATCGGTCAGGCATTTAAAATCAATTATTTCCACGGGAAAAACTACTTGGAGGTAAACTTGAAGAAACAATTATTGAAGCAGAAACAATAAAGTACAAAAAACTATCTCAATCATTGGTGTCACGACACTTTCATACCTCATCTTTTAAAATTGACAATGTCATACCTCATCTTACGAATTTGTGTCAATGTTATACCTTCCGTTAGCTTGCCGTTAATTTGTCAGTTAAATGCTGACGTGGCTTGATCCATACCCTATTTTCTATTAAAAAATTTAAAAAATATTAAAAAAACTAAAAACAAAATCATTTAATATTTTTAAATATTAAAATAATAAAGAAAAGTTAAAAAACAAAAAAAAAAAACCTTTTGTCCCTTACACCCCCCTCGCCCCTTCTCTCTGTCCCCATCTTCATCTTCTTCCCTGCTTAATCTTCGAAGAAGAAGAAGGGAAAAAAAAAAAAAAAAACCCCAACCCAATTCGTCCGCGCCCCCCCCCCAACAAAAACAAATCCAACCCCCTACAACCCAAAAAGAAGAAGAAGGAGGAGGAAGAAGAAAAAGAAGAAGAAGAAAAAAAAAAAAAAAAACCCGGATCCCGTTGGCCAGGCCGATTCCGTGGGTGGAGAACCTGGGCGCGGAGAAAATGAGGGGAATGGGTTTGGATTTAAAGAGTGTGGTGTGTAGAGGAGGGAAGAGGGTGGGTGCGGGGGAAGACAATTGGTTTTTTTTTTTTTTTTTCTTTTTTCTAGGTTGTAGCAGATAGGGGGAAGAAGAGGAAAGAAGATGAACATGGGGGAGAAGAGAGAGAGCGCTGGGGGTGGGGGAGGACAAAGCGCGCAGAGAGGAAGTTTTGTTTGGTTTTTTTTTATAACTTTTCTGTATTATTTTAATATTTTAAAAATATTAAATGATTTTTTTTTAGTTTTTAATAATTTTTTAATAGAAAGTGGGTCATGAATCAAGCCACGTCAGCATTTAACTGAGAAATTAATAGAAAAACTAACGGAGATATGATATTGGCAGAAATTCGTAAGATGAGGTATGACATTGTTATTTTAAAAAGATGAGGTATGAAAGTGTCGTGATACCAATAGTTGAGGTAGTTTTTTATACTTTACAAATATTATTGTTGCCTGCATGCAGCCAAATCAAATTTGTAGTAATAAAATGACGTCGTTTGTTCAAATTTATCTAATACATGCTAATTCTGAAATCATTGGCTATCATTCAGCTTGGTATCGACGTCGGATCATCCACCCTTGCCAGGGGCGTGGTTAGTCTTTGCATTGGGTACCTAAACAATCTGGTCATTGAGTTGGCATTTTTAATACAGGTAAACATCCATGTTATCAGTTTGTTTCTTATCTAAAGAGGTAAAGATATTCATCTGCACGTTAAATGTTGCCTAAAATGCACTCTTAACTATTTAGAAAAATCGATTTCCCTTGACAACTTATTCCATTTTTATGCTTGACTTTCGGTGCTTGTTGCTCAGGCAAACACGCCAGAGGAGCTTCCGGAGTTTCTTCTTGGAGCCTGCCGCCTTAACCACCTTGATGCCTCCAAGGCTGTTTTAGTTCAACCGTGGTAATATCCGTATTGTCATACTGTTGAATTGAACATAAAGCCTAGATAATGGAAATTCAGGGCTGGTTCTTCTCTGCAAACTTACTGGCAGAGGTCAGCATCCCTAGCGATGGGCTCTATATGGGGCTAGAAAAGGGTGGATATAGCCCATTTTAGAGCTCCAAAGAATCTTTGAGGCTTTATAAAATAATCTCTTCCAATGAAGGGCTATATATTTCGGGTTTGATTAGGCGATGTTTTTTTTTTTTTTTTTTTTGTTGTGAGCTTTTATTAAGTTGATTTTTGGACGTGCTATCTTAATATTTTTTTTTTATGGACCTTTCAACTAAAAAGTTCAAAATGTGACAAGGTTAGATTTAATCACTTATCAATTGTTCATTGGATTAGATTTTCTTATCTCAATCTCATCCGTTGAAAAAAAGCAAATCCCCACTTCGCCCTCTGAAATAATTTGATTTTTCACGTATAGCACAACAATTTACCTAGCACCAATTGGTAAATTAGTATCATACAATTTTGAAAAAAAAATTATTTGAAAATTTCATCCACCAATGTCTGTGAACGTTAAATCAATTTGAAATTTCATCCACAATTTTAGCCAAATTGAAAGAAAATAAGTAAGAAAAAAGAATTAAAAAATAATAAATAAAAAAAAGGTGAGTATAAGTGTATTTGCAAGTGAAGGGAGAGTGATAGAATTTTTCTCATATGGGTCGCTACTTTTTTTGTGGGACCCACTGTTTTTTGGGGCTAAATGTAGCCCGATTTTATGCTACCCAAGAAACAAAGTTGCTAGCCCCGATGGTGGATCTAGCCCTATTTTCTGGCTCATTAGGGATGAAATTTCTTGCTAAAGCTTGAAATGTTGTAGCCTCATGGAGGATAGAGCCCTCATCGGGATGCTCTTATTCAATCAATTCAATTCGATGTTGGGAACACGGCGTAGCAAGCATTGTAGATTTCATTAGGATTTGATATTTCACCTTTGTAAAGATGGCATTTCTCATTGATGCTCGTTCTTCGATTCATTTTTTTTTTTTGGTTTCATCGTATTATCAAATGTTTCTTGTCTATTGTTTGAGATGATCTTCATAGAATTCACAAATCAATTGAAGTTATTATGAAACTATTAAAATACCAAAATCAGTACAGTGAAATATCTTCCACACAAACCAGTGCTAATTGTAACACCTCTCCTTTCGTAACTCCCTTTCTGCCCCTAATGAGTGCATAAAAGGCATCTATGGTGGTAATATTTTTGAATTTGTGTTGTAAGAATTGTTTTGGTAAACGAAAATGACAAGCAAAATTTTGCATCTTAAAGGTTTGAGAATATTGTCTGGTAGTTCAAGCTAAAAAGGAAAATTGTGAAAAGTGTGTCGAAAATGAAAGAAACAGGAAATATGCGTTTTGTGAGTGGGGTAGTGGTGACAACAATTGCAATGGGAGTCGGGTATGAGCCATGGAAAAGGTTATTCGGGTGGTGGTGGTGACGGCAATGATAGTGGATGGTGGCGGAAATGGTGTTCAAGGTAATTATGGCGGCAGCGGCGGTCCTGCCGATGGCAGTGGTGGAGGAAACGAAGATGTTCAACAATGATGATATGATGATAATGAGTGGTAATTATGACGACTTTTGTAAGATGGTGATGGTGATAGCGATGATACTAGCGGGTGTGGTGGTTGTGATGATCTTGGTAAGGTTATTAACTTGTGATGACATTACATGATTTGTTTGTTTTTTTTTTTTTGAAAACTCTAACTTTGTTTTGTACATTTTTTGAAACTTAAACTTTCCATGAAATTCTCATATTCCATGTGTACATGTTCTAGTGGCTCATTCACACTATCACTACGGTTATAAATACTTTTATTTTTCGTACAGTTATCTTCAATACCTTCAATTAAGATTAACTTTGATAACTGTCATTCATAATTTTTGAACTTATCTCATATTCCATGTGTACATGTTCTAGTGGCTCATTCACACTATCACTACGGTTATAAATACTTTTATTTTTCGTACACTTATCTTCAATACCTTCAATTAAGATTAACTTTGATAACTGTCATTCATAATTTTTGAACTTAGAAATGTTTTCTAACCAAATTAAAGTTAAGTCTCTAACCAAATAAAAATTAAGTGCCAATAAATTAAGGAAACTATTATTAGCACTCCAAAAATCTCATTATACACTCCTTACAAGTGTATTTTTTTTTTAATTATAGAAAATTTAGAGTGCAAAATAAAATTTTAGAAGTATCAATAACAATTTTTTAAATTAATTGTCACCTATGAAATTTAAATTCAAAATTTATTTTGACAACTTGAAGATTAAATTTCAGTAGAACAGGATCATTCAATTAATTATAAAAATATAAGTAGTGGAGTAGTTGTAAAGTTGATGGGTCTCCCACTCCCACAGGATGTATGTAGCACTAAGAAAATGAAAGAAACAATGGCACAAGGAGCATTGCATTAGCATTAGCATGTGACAAAACATCATGTGGGGTGTGGGGATAGGCAGAGGGCTCCACTCTTCTTTGGGCCCCCACCCCCATACAAACACATATCATATTTACACGCACACCAACCAGACCAGAGTACATCAGAATAGAATTATCTCCTTTCTTATTTGAATGGTAACGATTAAGTCACGTCAACATTTTATATTAGTTTTTTTATAAAAGAAGAAAGATAAAATGAAAAATATGAAAAGAAAGAATGAAAGAAAATGAAAAAAAATAGGAGAGAATCCTAGTCCGTGTCCCCATTGTCGAACCATGAGAGCTACACCCTGTGTCGCACTACCAACACCTCTGCCCCACTCTTCCAACTTAAAAACCATCATCTTTTTTCTTAACCTGCCTTTTGGCCTGGGGATATTAGTCATTTTGGCCTTCAGATGTTTAATTAAGCCCACAATTTTGTTCTGCTTAATTAGTTCGATGAAACATTTTCAGTTTAAATTTCATGAACGTCAGTTTGTAAATAAAACAACATAATATCCCTTAACGTCTCGAGATTAAATTTTATGAACGTTAATCTGCTACTATAACAAATATAACATCTCTTACCAGTCTTGAATTTAAAAGTTTTCATATTTATTTCTATTGTAAATGAGTTACAATATTATCAATGTTAATTAATGAATCCTTGAACAACAATGTCACGGTCACCCTGATCAATATAATGGTGGTTGTGTCCTATGGCTATGGCTACCATAACTAGAGTTATAGCCATGGTGCTTATCGTTTACAAGACCAATTATAGTTGGGTCTCGACGTAGCGAATCACGAATATTATGTTTGTTTTTTAAAATATTCGATCTTAATTAGAGTAAAATATCGCTTTGTAATAAGAAGAATGGTGTTCTAAAATTTTCATATGACGAGTTTGCCCCTGGAGACCATACAGCGAAACCTTCCATTTGGAGTCTCGCGCGCGCACAATTATACGGACACATGCACAGATAGATACATCATACACTGTATCTTTTGCATGACCATCCTCACTCACAACCGCAGAGAGTTTGAGAGAAACAAAATCCTGAGAAAATCAGGGTGTTTGGCTGCTGAGAAAATTTGAATCCGGGTGGGACCGACCGGCCTTTTCAGGATCTCGGGAAGGTTCTGAAAGGTGGGGCCCTCATCCCTCATTCATCGTCTTCCGTTTGTCTGCTACACTCCCAACACCGTTTTATGAACACAACACCCCCGGTTTCGATACAGGTATCGAATTTTGTTCCATTGCCCCCTTTTTTCGCTCTCCTTTCTTGTCGTTAGGGTTTTCAATTTTGTGGGTTCCTATAAGTTTGCATATTTCCGTATCTCAGCTTTGTAGTTCCGGAAATGTCTGGTCTTTGTTTTGAATTTTGGGGGTTTGGGTTCTAATCCTGTTTGGTTGGTAGGAAAAGAAGAGATTTTTCTGGGAAAATTTTGCACAAGCAAAGCAAATAGAATTAGTTTAAAGGTGTGCTGATAGATACTCTTTTTTCATTTGATATATATGTTTTTTATTGAACTCTTTTGAAAGATGCCAACTTTGAATATTGTTAAATTTGTTACTTGTAGCAGTGGTTGGAGAATAGGAATAAGGCGTATGGATTTTACTCTGAAATTCTCTATCCTGCTGTTGCTTCTCGGATTCGGTATGTATTGAACACAATTTATGTCTCTTATGCTTGCTCTTGATTTATTCTTTATCATTTCTTAGTTTTTAGTCTTCAAGTTAGCTCTTTTGGTCTTGGTAATACCGTACAATGTAGTTTTTAAATATATGTTCGGGCAGTTTAGGTGGGATTGTTTGGAGATTAACATTATGCAATGTGAACCAATTTGAGTAACAAACGAAATGGCAGACGTGTTGTCTTGAGTAAATCGTTTTTTGGTTACTTTCTTTCTGTTTTCTTTTGGTTCGTTTCGTTGCATTACTTGGGTAGTTATATTGGTCAGGATGCTATTCTTTGGGTTCGCATAACTCATCCACAGCTTCTGTATCAGTGAATGCTTCGCCTTTTACGAATGATTTTGGTCATTGTGAAAGAGTTGTCAAAAAATGGGCCTCTTCTTCACTTGAACAAGAAGTTAAAGAAGACAAACACAGACTGAGGGATTTGCTGTTTTTCCTTCATGTGCCCAGAACAGGAGGACGTACGTATTTCCACTGGTAATTCCACATAAGTCCAACTTTTTAACCTATAGATTGACACCCATAATTTTGACAACTGTATTAATGCGTGGTTTTGGCTATATATACACTTGCAGTTTCTTGAGAAAGCTGTACTATAGCTCTCTGGAATGTCCTCGATCTTATGATAAGCTTCGATTTGATCCTAGGTAAGATACTGTGTTCTCTTTTCTAACTTCTGTTCTTGACATTTCCAGTTCAGTGAGTTCCAGAATTCAAATAATTTGGTTAACAAAGAACCACTAAACTCAAGGTTTATACCATTTTTATAATTGAGCATTGAACTGTTACAAAGGTGTGATAGACTTACAGCTCAGATGTCCTTATGCTAGAGCGGCTAGAATTGTGTTGAGTTAGTTTTACAGGAAGGCTGTTCTTATATGGAAAATAAACTTGGAAAGGGGAAGGGTTTATGATTTATTGTTACAGCATCACTTTTTTTTTTTTGACTGATAGGCGTAAATTTTCATAGAAACTTACTTCACAAGGGTATCATATTTGCTTTCACTAGGCTTGCATTTTAAAAAGTAATGCCAAGCCTGAAGTCAGCAACTAAGTTGGAGGCCTACAGATCTATAATAGTCTGTTGCCCTTTCATTTACCTATTCCTTTCTTAATTTTTCATATATTTGCATTTCTAGTAGGTGTTAATTCTGTACCCTTTGCAGAAAGCGACATTGCAGGTTGTTGGTTACTCATGATGACTATAGCATGATGTCCAAACTTCCCAGGGAGAGAACATCAGTAGTGACAATACTTAGGGATCCAGTTGACCGTGTTTTTAGTACATACGAATTTTCGGTAGAGGTAGCTGCTAGGTTTCTGGTACATCCCAACTTAACTTCTGCAACACAAATGGCAAGACGTATACGTTCAAAGACTAAAGGAGTAAGCACACTGGATATTTGGCCATGGAAATATTTGGTTCCATGGATGAGGGAAGACCTTTTTTCCCGGGTATGTTATTTTGGTTCTGTACTGCTTGGACCTAGTTGACCTTTTTGGTTCCGCAGCTCTCATGCTTGGTATATTTCTGTTAAAGTGCTGTATTTCTCCTTTGCACATTATTTGTGATTGTATTGACTTTTTTGGACAGAGAGATGGTCAAGAGCATAGAGGCTCAGATGATGTTCAGAGCAATGACCCATACAACATGGAGGAAGTTGTGATGCCATTACACGAGTACATCAATGACCCTATAGCTCAAGAAATTGTTCACAACGGAGAAACATTCCAGGTTGTTTATTCTCCTATAGTTTTAGAACATCGTGGAAATTGTTAGTGCTTATTTTTAGTTTTGCTCCATCCGTAAGTTGTGAAAATGCTAGAAAGCTTTGCTTAGAGTCTTAGATACTAAATAGTTGCTTATTTTTCTTAATAATGAGATTCCGCACATAAAACCTTTTTGTTGATTTTTCTTCTACTTTGACTGATTTAATGTTTTTATATTATGATCCAATGTCAATATATTGGCTGCGGTACTGAGATATCAGCCAATATTTTGACCTTGGTGGTACCAACACAGAATCTAGTGTATAAGGGATATCCTTGCACTTTGTTGTTGAAACTTCAGCAATCTTTGGGGGTGTTAAAACTTTTTGAATCTCGACTAATTTGAAATGCTTTAGTAGTTTCCTGAAGCAACTACAGGCAGCTGCTTTTTTGTCTCACTTTTCCTAATAGGCTCCTTCTTTGGGGTAGAAACCTATCACAAGTGGACCCCTCAGTGGCTAGAAAATGATGAATTTATGAGATCTCTTTATGTTGAAGCATCATTACACACACATATGTATATAATACTTTAATTTATTATATGGTTGACTTTCTAGTTCAAAAGGTTGCAGGATTGACAAACAACTCCTATCTATCAGAATCACATGAAGTGCGCCATTGTGTACAGAGGTATAAACATCTTGGTGAACATGTCCTGGAAGTTGCAAAAGTAAGGTTTCCATAGTATTTTGTATAAATGTTTTATCACATAATCCATTTTTCCCTATGGTTGTAATCTGTAGCGATTTGTAAATTTTTCAGAAGAGGTTGGATGATATGTTATATGTTGGTCTCACTGAGGAGCACAGAGAATCTGCAACCATGTTTGCAAATGTAGTTGGCGCCCAGGTGATTTCACAGCTAGGAGGATCAAATTCTAGTGAGGAGAGTGCTACTGAAAGCAAACCCGGTCAGTGTGGCATCTACTTAAAATTTCTGTTATTTAACCTTGTTCAGGTGCAGTACTCTAAAAAAAATGGAGTTGTAGCACAAAGTTGAGAATATTTAGTTTGAGTTTGAACTGTATAATGCCTCAAGCTGCGTTTGGGTATTACCAAATTATATGTTGCATATTGCTTGGGGCAGCATGTTGATTTTTGATAATTGCTATATAGGGTTGATTTACACTATAAACCTGGCATTCATCTTATTTCTCTGCTTGTGCTACAGAACAGAGCTACTCAGTTTCAGATTCCAAGTCAGATAATAATGACCTTCGGGTAATTAGAAAAGGCCATCATCAGTATGTGGATTGCTTCATATTGGAAAATGATTTAGCAGCTTTCTTACTGCTGTTTTTTTAATATGACAGAACAGAACCCTAGATGGAAAGGAAAGTGAGATTGCTTCACCTGAAACTGTTGAAGCAGTGAAAGGAAATGTAAGCCATTTTTCAATTTGGCACAATGATAGTTGATCTGGCTTCCACTTTGTTGACTTTGATCCTCGCTACACATTATTAGATGACTGTGGGAGAGCTTATGAAAGCTTATGAAGACTGCATTTCTAGTTTACGAAAGACCCAAGCAAACCGGCGCACCTCTTCTTTGAAGAGAATCTCCCCCGCAAACTTTACTAAGCAGGTAGCATTAAGTTTCTAGTTTCTTCAAAGTAGATGGTACAATAGATGATGTTTTACATCATTCATTAATGTCTGTGCACAGCATCCATTCATCCTTGTACTCAATTCTCTTCTTGGTTAGATGCACCTGTAATCTATAACATATAGAACCTCTGATTTATCGGATATAAATATTGCAAACCGCATGTTGCCTTTTCTGGTGGAACTATCAAAATAAAAATTAAAAAAACCCTTTAGTTTAAAAAACTGCTAAAGTGGAGAGGAAAAAAAAACACTTATATAATAAGGATAAATTAGTAAACTGAATAATTAAACACAAACTAAGGAGACTACATTGGATGGCCAATTGGCATGCCCTACGTGCCAAGAGGCAAAATACTCAATGGGCTCTCTCTTCTCCTTTTGGATGTCATTCTGACCGTTAAAAATTTACAGGCACGCCTCCAGGTTCCTGAAATGGTCCTCCAGCAGATAAGGGAACTTAACCACCTTGATGTGGAGCTTTATAAATATGCACAAAATATCTTTGCAAATCAACATAAGCGTAATTTTGGCATCACAGTAAGTTTCTTTTTTACAAGGCTAATAATTCCCTATGTTAAATAAATACATATGCATGTGGCAAGATGTGTTAGACTATTTTATAGTGTCTGCTTTTCTCTTAATTTGATAAATTTACAGTCAACCATGACTTTTTTAGTTTTGTCAGACTCAAAATTGGGCTTGGAAGAGAAAATGTAGTTGTGGTTGAAGAAAATACTTTGCGATGTTGTAGGAAATTGAAACCTTTTATAGGCTTTCATGTTTTGATGTTTTACAGGTGGTATCCAACATTAACTTTTAAACTCTGTTATAATGGGGGTTTGGAACTGAAGTAGTAATTGTTGCCGGAAATTGTTAATGGTGGTTTGGATTTAGAATATAGAAAATCCTTCCTGAGGCTGCTTGACCTCAAATCTGTCTTGTGAATTGTATTCAACCAAGCATCATGGTTATTTTCATTATCCAAATCATATCCCTCTGTTTGTTTGTCATGAGAGAGTCACTTGGGTTTATCCCACAATTACAATAACCATTAGACGTTCACTGGGAACCTCTATGTAGTGTCCTTGTTGGGACGTATGTGGTTATTTTCTTTTATGCATATGCGGAGTTCGAGCTTTTATGTATCGCTTTGAAGTGTGGTGATGGCCTTGTTCTTGAACATGTTGCCTACTTGTTTTACATATTCTGTACATAATCATCGAACTGGTCCCGTGCTCTTGCCTTTTTACAAAAACAGGATGTCATTATGATTGGAATGCTTTGGCCACATGGCATGTTCCTGAACATATCTGCTTCATTATGATTGACGTGCGGCGATGGCCTTGTTCTTGAACATGTTGCCAACTTGTTTTACATATTCTGTACATAACCATCAAACTGGTCCCGTACTCTTGCCTTTTTACAAAAACAGGATGTCATTATGATTGGAATGCTTTGGCCACATGGCATGTTCCTGAACATAACTGCTTCATTATTTTGCTTAGCTGTTTACGGAAAACTGAAATTTGTATTTCTGTGTTGTCTGTTAAGGGGAGATGCAGGAAGAAATTTAGCCGTTTTAGCACCCGAAATAATTTGATTGAACAAACTTAGTTCCATTAACTAATGCATCTAAATTGCAGGGAATTTGGGAGAGGATGCAGAACAGCACATATGGCACGAGCATGAAGGTCCTCTCGTTAGGCGGAACTCTTGTTTTACTCCTTTTGGCCTTCTATGTATTTGTTAACGCCCGAAGAAGAACGTCAAAAGTTAAAATATGAATGTATCTTGATAGACTGGAAACATCACACCGGTTTAAAATTATTGAGAAACCTGATGGAAAGAAGGTGTCGCATTTGCTTTAGTTTGCATCCTTTGTGTTTGTTTTATGGGGTTTTGTTAATATAGGTTCAATTTATTAAGGTGGAGGGTTTTCATTCTTTGGTCATTTACCTTCCACACCGTTGTTAATTTTCATCCATTGATGTTTTTCGATTCATTCAATCCGATGGTTAAAAATTAAAAATGGTGTGTGGATAGCACCATCCATCTTTTAACAACTGATGGCAGCTAACGTTTAGCATTTTCTTTTTATACTCAAAAGATGGGAGCTTGGCTCCTAAAGGTTGGGGAGTAGTTACTCATCAATTTACTTCGTGTTGGATTCACAGAATTTCGTGTTTATTATAAATCACTTTGTAAATATCACCTTTTACTAAAAAATTAATTAGAACTAAGTTTGTTAAGTTAATCAATTGTCGCAAATAGATAGACCGTTCATAATGTTATTACCGTATTTGTTTGTTTTTGTATAATTTGATGACTAAGAAAGTTGTCTCTAAGTTTAATTTTATCAACATCTCAAGGGTTACATTGTTAACAACAGATAATGTCAAAAAGTAAGCAGTGTAGACATATATGTTTGGGTGATGGATTTCCAAGTCACGGGATTGAAAGTCAAACTATGAAGAAAATATCACAAAATGTTGTATAGGAGGGTTAGAAAATGCATCATATAAGCACTATAAGGCATATGAGGGGGATAAGTTGAAAGAAGTCATTTGCAAATCCCTTTTATACATATGCCCTTGTAATGTTCTATTGTGCATTTCTTACTTCCTTACATCCGACGTTTTGTGATCAATTTTTTTTTTTATAATTTGGCTTAAAAGTCCATGACTTGAAAATTTCGAGCTCAAATATAGCCCGATGTCGGAAAATGAGCAGTGTAGCACAAATTAAAACGCTCTGCGCATGCTTACCAAATGAACATTTCTAAACTAATCGTTTAGCTTATACATCAACCAACGATTAGCTAATGTTTGTTGATGATCTCTGGCCGTACATACTACTACTTCGACGTACCTTTTTCGCTTCGCATATGGCATTTACATTCTCCACAACATCAACCATAAGTTTGATTACATGGCGTTCCATTTGAGCAAGAAGCTATGTTCTTTTGAAGCTTTCATTCATGAGTCCTCCTACTTAATGTTGCATTAACATGCATAAAAACGCTTCTTTAATTAACAGTCCCGCGCGTAAGTTATATTATATGTGAACGTCTCTTGACAAATCCAAACGTCTAAAAAAATAGATCTAAACAAAAAATTTTGAGTCACGCGTAATGTGCGTTTAGAGAGACCAGTGTTGTATATATAAGGAAGAACTGAAACTAAAACTTGGCGATTGGTTTTGATGGTTTGAAAATACATAAATCATACTTTAGGCATTCAGGTTTGTGAGTGTTGAGATGGTTGCTTGACCTCAAAGGGAGTTGGCTTGGGGATGAGGATACTCTTCAGATCCTCTTTATGAGGATTCTAGGGATCGTTACATCCTAATTGTTCAACGTACATCGTGCGATCAGTTTTTGTTAAGTACTATTTGTGTTTAATTTTATATTTAAAATTCAAAATAATTTATAACCATATGATGTACCATGAACGGTTAAGATATGAAGATCCAGATGGGATCCAAATCCTTGGCTTGGCGACCATCAAGGCTATTTTCATTCTCCAAATATTGTCCTGCCTGTTTGTCCATCACGAGAGCAGTTTGGGTTCGTTGTACAGTAACATTTTAGATGTTCATTTTGTACCTATCTTATATGTCCACATGCACTTGTGCAAACATTGTCGGAAAGTTATTTATTTTATTGTTTGTGAATCTTGTTTATCTGTTTTTTAGGTTTTACCCTTTATAAATATACTTTGTAGTTTAGTATGAGAATTAAGTTAGTCACAATATATTTTTGCAGCTTGTGTAGCTATTTTGACAAATTAGTAAGGTAAATTACATAAAACTACCTTAATTATTGGGCCAATCACAATTTTATACCCTATCTTTAAAACATTTCAATGTCATACTTATCTTCGAATTTGTTGCAATGTCATACCTTCCGTCAGTTTGTCTGTCAATTCTTCCGTTAAATGTTGACGTGGCTTGAGACAGGACCCACTCTCTATTAAAAATTAATTAAATATTAAAAACTAAATATTTAGTTAATTTTTGAATTTTTTACACCCCTTCTTCCCCATCCACCCGTGTCCCCCCAACCTTCCTTCACCGCCAAAACCAGAACCCTACCCGCCCTCTCTTCCTCCATCTCCACCTCCCTCCCATGGCGCTGCTCCCCTTCCTCCTACACACCCATGACCCTCACCAAATTAATCCCTGTAACCAAGCCCTAAATTTCAAATTCTTAGCACTAATCATCCCCTAGCCTGTTTTGGAGAAAGCTTCGGGCTTTGCTCAAGGGTTTGTGGGTTTTGGCTAAGGGGACGGGAGGCAGCTGTGCTTGGGTTTTGGGGTCAAAGGAGAGCAGGTTCGATTGGGTTTTGGTTTGGGGTTCGAGAGAAGAGGCGGGGAGAGACGTTGACGTGCCACAGGGGTTCCCCCCCCGCGGGGGGGGGGGGGGGGGGGGGGGGGGGGGGGGGGGGGTGGTGGAAGCGACGACGGAATTGGCCAAAAGAGAATAGAAGAATGCGGAGAGAATTAGCGGAATCGATCACCTGCAAAAAAAAAATTCTGGATTTTTTTGTTTCAAAATTTGTTTGTTTCTGGGGAGAGAAGAGAAGAGAAGAGTGGGGAAGTGGGATGAGTGGCCGGGGAGGGTTGCGGGGGATGTTGGCGCGGGTGGGATCTAGGTTTGTGGTGGTTTTGGTTTTGGGTTGGGGGAACACAGGAGCGGGGAAGAAGTGTGATGGGGATAAGGGGTGGTTCTCATATTTGTTTTATAAAATATTAAAATGATTTATTTTTAATTTTTTAACATTTAGTTAATTTTTAATCTAGTTGGAATATGAAGTGAGCCCTGTCTCAAGCCATGTCAGTAAGATTGACAGAAAACCTAACAGATGTCTGATATTGTAACAAATTCGTAAAATGAGGTATGACATTGAAATGTTTTAAAGATGAGGTATGAAATTGTGATTGGCCCAATAGTTGAGATAGTTTTGTGTAATTTACCCTATTCTCTTTCAGTTCCATTAACAATGCATTATTCATGATTTTATATTCCATTTGTTTGTCGTCGCACACTTTGATGTTCAATTGACAATTTCTTTCTAGGGTTGGTCTCGCTTGCCCCATTGATTATTGCCCTTGTTTTGAGATATAAATAAATAAGGGGTAAATTACAAAAAATTACCTCAACTATGGGTCGAATGACACTTTCATACCTCATCTTTTTAAAATGACAATATAATACCTCAACTTATGAATTTGTGACAATGTCAGACCTCTATCAGTTTTTCTGTTAATTTCTCTGTGAAGTGCTGGCGTGGCTAGAGACGGGGCCCACTCACTAATCAAACTAGATTAAAAAAATAATTAAATATATTTTTAAAAATTAAATATTATAAAATTAAAAAAATTAAGAATAAAAAAATTAACATGGCCTAAGGGTGCGGACCTCCCCTTTCCTCCACCTGCACCAACTTTCTTCTTCTCTTCGACAAACCCCAAACTCTTCCCCGTCCCCCCAACCTTCCCCAACCCACCCCCATCCCCCACATCTTCCCTTCCCCTACCTCTTCCCATCCCTTTCGAACCCAAACCCAAACCCTAATTCCTCATTTTCAAACAGAAAACCCTAACCTTCCCTACCCGTCCCCCCAACCTTCCTCCACCACCTTTTCTCTCTCTCTCTCTCTCTCCTCTCTCTCCGTGGGCTACCTGCAACTCTTCATGCACGCTGCTCGTTTTGAACCGCGACGATCGGAAAATCTTCGACGCGTTCAATAACGCCGAGTTTCCAATGAGTGAGTTGAACATCATCGAATTCTGGTCCTAGACGAGTATGTACCACCCAACCATGGACATCGCCGAATTCTGATGTGGCGGGTAACGAGCAAGTGCTTCCTCTCGAGCTCGACGAGGACGACGATGGGTTTTTGGTGGCGGAGAATCCGAGATTCGGAATTCCCGACGGCATGAGGCACAGTAGCTTCGTGAGGGAGGATAGGGAGTTCATGGCATTGGGGAGAAAAAATATCTACCTTTCATCAATTTCTGGGCCACCGAAGAGAGAGAGATGAGAGATGAGAGAGATGATGGTGGATGAAGGTTGGGGGGGGGGGGGACAGGTGGGAAGGGTTTCTAGGTTTTGGGGATGCTGCTGTCTAGAGAGAGAGACAGATAGAGGGTCCATCCCACAATTTTATATAAAAAAAATTATTTTTAATTTTATAATATTTAATTATTAAAATATATATTTAATTATTTTTTAATCTAGTTGGACTAAGTAGTGGAGCCCATCTTAAGACACGTTAGCACTTAACAGAAAAACTGACGGATGTCTGACATTGACACAAATTTGTAAGTTGAGGTATGACATTATCATTTTAAAAAGATAAGGTATGAAAGTGTCATGACACCAATAATTGAGGTAGTTTTTTGTACTTTACCCTATTTTTTTTTATACATAATTGAAATGGAATGATGATTAAGTTCTTGGCACGATTTCCTTATCTTTTTCACACAAATAGTGTTTGAATATGATTGGTAAGCTATTACGATGTTACAAGGAAGAAAGTGGATCGCCAAACTAATTAGTCATTTGAAATTTGAGGTTCCATCTTCCCATTAGGATGTTACATTTGAATGTAATTTACAAAAGGATTATGACTAGTAAAAGTAAGTTCACCATTTGGATCTAAGTTGGCTTTTTCCTTGCACTAAGGACAGGGATAAAGAATGAGTTATTGGTACTCTTTCAATACGATATATTTTACCATTCATTAATTACGGATGAATTATTTTTGTTGTACAGTTCCGTTACCATATGAAGCAATATTGTACTTTTAATCCCTGTGTCAAACCGTACATCAAGGCAGAGATGATGGACCCCAAAAAGTACACCCGCGAGAGTTAACTTGAATTAGGATAATTCAAGGAAAAAGGATTTGAATTTTGGTGGCCAAACATTGACCAAAATAATAAATAAAATAAGACCCCAATCGTCGGTGATGAACTATTAAGGCTTATGCAGTGTGAGTGGAGTACTGATGGTACCGGTAATGCTCTGTTGGTATTTAAAAATGAAGGCCCACACGTGACTTTTGCCACCAAACTCATTTGAATCCCTATCACACAATTCACAACCACCGACGCTTATCCAGGTTTAATATATATATATATATATATATATATTTTTTTTTTTATCAAACGATGAATTTTATTATATTAGATAATAGATTAGTATCGATGAAATTCGAATTCATACCATTTTGTAAGTGCTTAACATCTTTCTACCACTGTAGTAAAAGACTATTTGCCAGGTTAAATATATTAGGGTTAATATAATCTTAACGATGACCCAAAAATATATCTTTTTCATTAAAAGTGAACAATATCTGAAGTGTTTCGTTAAAACTTCCAAAAAAAAGAAAACCAATTAAAAGAGATTGAAAACTTTGTTTAATCAAAAGGACAAAAATATGTTCTAAGTGAATAATATCAGCAGTGACTTTTTAAAGTAAAAATGTCTTTTTCGTTAAAAGTGAACATTACCCGGAGTATTTCGTTAAAATTTTCTAATCTTAACAATCAATTATTCTATTTTCTAAAAATAAAATATAATCTTTTCCAATTTTTTTATTTTGAATTTAAAATGTTTTATGATTGGTATTTAGTAATTTTAATTTTTTAAGCAGCATCAAAATTTTGATAAAAAGAAAAATTTGTTGCCGAAGTCCATAACCTGGTTATGTAGCATGAAGGTGTTATGGTCGGACAAAGCAGAGAGAATATACACGCCGGATCTTATTTGTGAGGATCACGGGAATCATTTAATTACATTCGTTTATCGTATATCATACGGTCAATTTCTGTTTATATTCAATTTCAAATAAAAAAATTTACAATAATTTCTGATCGTACAATGTACAATGAATAGATGTGTTGGAAGGTCTATGAAATCCTCATAAAGAAAATCCGGCAAGGATCCTCACTAGACAATGCATAACAAATCTATAGCAATAGTGTTATAAACGAGAGAAACACAGAAGAAAAAAAATGGAAGTGGAAGTGTTCATATTTTGTGACAATAATGATCATTTACTAGTCACATGAGAAAATGTAGTGAGAGAAATAATAATATATTTGATACGGCTGATACATGAAAATTTACTATCACTTATGGTTGAATTAAAGTCTAATTAAAGAACAAAGAAATTCTTGAAATTGAACCAAGTTTGAATGCTAAGTCGCTAACCATTAAAATTTGATCCAACATCATGAGTCAATTGCTTAGGTTTGAGTTCATAAACACTAATAATTGCCTTTTGAACACCAATCCTTGTCGCGGCTCCAATGTGCTTTTCCTTCTACCTACGTTATTGCCACTTAGTTGCTGACTCATTCTTCAAAATTAATCACTAAATCCTAAATACATGATGCTTTTTTTTTTTGTTTTTTTGAGTACATCAATATAATCTTAGCCTCTTAGTTGCTGACTCATTATTCAAAATTAATCACTAAATCCTAAATACATGATGCTTTTTTTTTATTTTTTTTAGTACATCAATATAATTTTACACTAAGAGGATAGAGAGTTTGGTTAAGCCACACAAAGGATAATCTAATTTGGTATCGAATTCGCCATATATGAGATTCGAACTTGTGACCTCTCACTTCCAAATGAAGAGAAATATCATCATACCGTAGAACTGAATAGCATCAAGAGTGTAACTTTTATATATGAAGAGTTTAATAAAAATACTAAAAATTGGTGATAATAATAATAATAATAATACTCTGATAAAAATAAAAAAGATAATGTGGAAATAGTGTTGGCAAAGTAAAATAGTCTGAAACTGGAAAACTTAAAAGTTAAAAGTACGCACGTTATGGGACGTTGACTAATGAACAAAATCTGAATCTGGTTGGGAAGTGAGACCTCACCGTATAAACGCGTGGGGCAGCGCTGCACGTGAACCTTCCTCCCTGGTGAGAGAGGGAAAGAAAACCTAAATTCCAATCTCAGACAAACGCAAAGAGGCTCAGAGCCATCTCCTCCTCCTCCTCCTCCTTCTCCTCTGCAACTCTCTCTCTCTCTCTCTCCTCTCTCTCCTCTCAAGCAACACAGACAGCCACCAGCTCTCTCTTTCACACTCTGGAAGTTTTGACAGGGACAATGACGGCGGTATCCGCTGACGTCACCAAGCTAACGAAGCGTGAGGTGCCAACACTCGCCTCCCTCTCCATCTCTCTCTCTCTCTCTCTCTCTCTCTCTCTCTCTCTATATTCTTTACCATTTCATCTTCTTCTTCTTCGTGAATGAATGAATGAATGTCATGCTTTCATTCGCCGCTTTTAGGGTTTTTCAGAGGTTTGCATTTTCTCTATTTTCTGTTAGCATTTTGCTTTTTATCCTGTTTGGTTCGACAGAAAATGGAATTCGAAAAATGCCCAACATTCCGCTTTCAATTTTCTTCTTTTTTTGAATATTTTTAAATTTAAGTATTCATGGAAAATGTTGTACTGGTGCTGCAACTGTACAATTGGCATGCAATGCGAATTAGCGTTTGGGTTTCTTAAGCATTTCTGATTTTCCCGGCATTTTCTCAGAGGCCAAACAGGGTGCTTCGGGAATTGGGAATTCGAGCGTGTGCAGTTGTAAGATTTTAATTTTAATTTTTTGTTTTTATTCTTGTTTAGCATGGTAAAAGTAAGTTACCCTCTTTTTGTGTTATTGTTTCTGATTCAACATTGATGAGTAAATTAATTGGATAATGAAATGAGAAATGCTAAAGAGACTATTTCACCAATCTGCCACCTCACTGTTTAAGCAGTTTTACTCACCACCGTAACTATGATTTATACTTAACACCATAATTACGGTGAGTTAATCATCTATCATGTGTCATTTTACTTAACTCAGGTTAATTTTCACATTAAATATTGTTTTTTCAATTTTGAACAAAATCAACTAGGTTAAGTGAAAGAACACGTGTAGATGATTAAATGTATGATGAGCATACACCATAGTTTGCAGCTGTGAGCAAAACATGTTTTGCGTGCCAATAATATAAAACATTGTGTCAAAAATATGAGGTGTCAAGAGTCTCATGTTGAGAAAATCCCTTGACATTTCTCGAATTGAGAAATTCAGAGGCCTATTTTGGGTAACCTTCAATTAGTGACGATTTTCTACCCAATTAAAAACGCTTTCCCTCTCTGAATTTATGACCAAAAACCACAACTATTCAATCCCATCCAATCCAATCCCTTGAGATAGCTTTTCCGTTTTGACTTCTTACTGTGATATCTCTTCTTTTTTTGGCATATTTTTTTCGATTTTTTTAGCACTGTATATATAACAAGCAATGCCATGCTTCTCTTGTTTGCCTATACATCTTAATTAATTAAAGAGTTTTCGTAGTTGAATTCTTGCTTCCTCTGCTGTTGGTCTTTTGCCACTGTCAACAGAATATTAGTGACATGGATGGTTCTTTGCCCACTGATGGGGCTTTCAACTACGAGAGCGTCCTCAGCAACGACATCCTAAGCGCTCTCGATTTTCCCATGGAAGACATTGATGACAGTGTCGAAGATAACGATTGGGATACAAAGTTCCAAGACATAGAGCCACCACCGAACATTGATCAGTTGCTTGGTTCAGGGATTTTCAGCTATGATGACAAAAAGAAACATACGAACCTCTCCACTCCGGTGAGTTTATTATCTTATGTTAGGGACATAAGGGTTATTATTCTGTTTGTGTTTTTGCTGTGGAACTGTCCTTGTGTTACAGTATATATGCATGACTCTGTGAAGTTGTTTCGCTTGGCACTATTGTGTTTAATACTTTTCTACTAACGTGGCCCGGAAATTGGTTTCAAGAATTTTTCTTCCCTGCATAACTATTTAGTCTGTCTCTTGCACTGTAGCAATATTTTTGAACAAGAATTTGATTTAGTGATGCGTCATAGGCAATTTTATTCTTGTTTGATGCACAAAGTATGCATAACTAGTTATGGTCGAGTGCTTGATGAATGCACCTAACCCTTTTGTTGTATTGCGAACTTTATGGTTAAGCAAAGTGTAGTGATGATGGATGTATACTTTGAAAGAGGATAGAGGTATGTATATTCCTCAGAGCTTCCATGATATGTGATTTCCTGTTAGGTAGTTGAATTTCTGTGCCTACTCTTGTTTTTCCGTAGGTGAAACTATGTCCCTGCAAATATGACATGTTCCTGAAGGTTGTAAATCATATGTTGTTTTTGTAGCCGTAAAAATCTTGTTAAACGTATATTTTTGTTTAGGTTATGAACTCTTGGACTCACTAAGTCATGGTGAAAAAGACCAAAGATTCATGGTAACATATGTTCTAAAAAGTAGCGTCGGCATTCCAATTCTCTCAGCGGTGTTTTCTTATCTAGCTTATGGATGCTGAAGAAAGGTTTCCATCAAACCTAGCATCAATAGAGCATATTGTTTCTTGACAACATGATATATGAGTATTAGAGTTTAAATTGTAAAAGAATCTGAATGATATATGAAGTTGGTATGGATTTCTCAGAGAACAAATAGAATTTAACAACCAGGCTTGTTCTTGTTGACAAGATTTATAGAAGATAAAACTTATTTCACTTTAGAGAAAACTGCTTATATGCTTCTGCATTTTGTCTCAAAGTAATTTCAGGCTTCCATTCGAAGCGTTCATTTTGAACATCCGTCTGAGTGGTGTTGAATTTTGGATTATCGTATGAATACCCTACGTCTGGATAATGGCTTTGTGGTCCTTCATATAAATGACTGACAATGTTCATGTAGTTGATGGTGAAACAGATGATAATTAACTGACTCTAGGTATTATAGGATACCTAGTTTGTACTTTGTATTTTAAAGATGTGTGTATTTTTCTTGCAACGTTTCTTTTAAAGGAATTTGCGGTTTTATGCTGTTTTAGCCAACAATTGCCAACGTAGGTTCTTCGCTCATCTCGCTCTTTTGTTTTTTATTTTCTTTCAGTATGAACAAATGTATCAACCGCAATTCCCAAGTGTTACATGTGAAACCATCCGCAGCAAAGGTAGCCTTCGCAATGATGACCGTGAAAGCATTGGCTCTTGTGCTGCCCAATTTGAGCCCAAATTTGAAAAGCGCACCCGAAGCAAGCTTTCACGAAGCAGGCGTGCAAACCCTGTTATTTTCAGTACACAGTTCATCCCCAGTACCTCATCCAATTCCTCTGCCACCGAAAACTTGTACCATTGGGATGCTTGTAAATTTGACATAGAATCCTCTCGCACAGAGGATATGTTGAACACTACCAAAAGAAAACAGAAGAAAACGGGAAAGCTCACCACGGATGAACCAGGTGAGAGCCGTGAGGCTAAAAAATGCACGCATTGTCAAGTGACGAAGACCCCTCAGTGGAGAGAAGGGCCACTAGGGCCGAAGACTCTCTGCAATGCGTGTGGAGTTAGGTACAGGTCTGGGCGTCTCTTCCCGGAGTACCGCCCAGCAGCAAGCCCTACATTCGTCGCAGCAGTGCATTCGAACTCGCACAAGAAGGTCATCGAGCTGAGAAGCAAGGGTTGCCAGGAGGCGGTTATCGGGATTTTATCGTCGGCCCAGTAGGAAATTCAGGTAGCAGTAGTAGTAATAGTAGTAGTTGTAGTAGTTGTAGGGGTAGCAATTATTTCATTATATCTTGAAAATGAGAACAGTCTTCTTATTTGAGAGACCTTTCTTTTTGCCTCTGTTTTATTGCTTTCTGTTCTAATTTATTTGATATGTTCTTCATGTACATATGATGGAATAAGAGGTCGTTAACCCTATCGTCAAAATTGCTCGTTACCTCAATGGAGGGAAAAACTTGAAGAAAATAGGAACTAAAATACATTACCAACTGGCTCGTAATTTCCGAGTTCAAATCCTTCTTCCTCCGTCGATAAAAAAAGTTGCAAAAATAACAAAACCGGGGAAGAGTTTGTTGAGGGTTATAATCAATTTATCTTCCACAAGACATTTGACATTCATAATGAGTCTTGTTCCTCTCATTAGATTGGTAAAACTTTGAAGAAAAAGGTTGTGCTATTCACACATCTCTTAATTTTTGGTTGTCAAATGTATGAATTGACGTATATAAATTAACAATAGGTATAAAGAGGAATGTGGATAGCGCTGCTAAAAAAGATTAGATGAATCATGAATGTTTCCAACAATTCGAACTCTTATAAACATAAAAAAACGAGTGTGAAAGTTAAAAAAGTCAATTGTATTTTAAAATTTGAAGGGAAAAAGAAAATCGAAAGTCCCGCCTATAAATAAAGATTTTATAAATTGTTTTGGTGGATTAAATTTACCAAAATTATTCAAATTCAGAACCCCACCTTCCTGTATTGTTTTGGGGTTAAATACTGTAGATACTGACCTAGTTTCACATGGAGTGTTGATGGATGATGATGAGCTGAGTTGCTCAGACCATCAGCTGCATGTGCGGATTATTGAGTTGAGGTGATCCACTTATCAATCTTTGTGCTCAAAATTTCTAATCCGATTTGATTCGAAGCCAATAAGATTGACAACAATAAACTAAATTACTTTCAATTTAGTAACGTTTTTCAAACGATAAACTGATTTTATTCGTGATGAAATGTGAATCGAAACATTAACATAAGCGGCGAGAGATTAAATTACCAAATTGATTTAGTAAAAATTTCACAAACGCTACTTTGATTAAAGGGGTGTGCACATACTGTTCAATTATTGACTCTTGTCAATATACCATTCCAACTCATGTTTCAGTGTTGCCAATTAGTAGTACAGTTTGGTAGTAATACTCTTTACTTATATGTGAGAGGTCTTGGGTCCAATTCTAGCTAAAGGCGAATTTGAACAACATTATTGTTAGCACATTGTGAGGCTTAGTCCACATCTCTTCCAGTAGATAATATTGTTTTGTTCAAAAAAAAAAAAAAAAATCATGTTTCAATGTTAATCTACCACCTCCTTTAATTTATTAAGTGTTTTCCACTAAGCACTCACATATCTTCGACTTTCTCGAAGATAAGTTATAATCGACGAAATTCTTACACCAAGTCATCAAGGAGTCTTGTAGTGTTAAAATACATATGAAAAGTGCTCAAGCTAATGCGCACACACATGATGTGCTTTAATGAAATTTCTAATAAAGATTGATAGAGGTGGTACATCCACACGAAAAGTAGCGTCTGGTTAGTAAAATGGCAAGACTTTTGTTTGGTGGTAGTTGTGAATCCTCATAGCTAAGTAGTCCATGTGGTGTTTGTGAAAAATATGAAAACATAACATAAATTGCGTTTTAAAGCGTACATATAACAAATGATTCTTGGGATAGATTTGCAAATGACTGCTCAGAAGAATTTATTTACAAATTCTTCGTACCTCTCTGTAATACTTAAAAGTGCACTTCTAGTTTCGTTTGTGATTTATGTCTTCTTAATTTATTGTTGTTCTGATGTTGTGATATGCTAGGGATTAAAAAGTGTTAGGTGGCTAATTTTTATTGTCTATAATTTCTTTGTAAATTGACCCCTTAAAAACGCTTGGGCAAGAGACGAGGCTAAACTGGCCCCCTTAAAGAGCCTTCGGAATTAATTTTCAATCGGTGTTAAATAACACTTTAGCCCAGACTAGTTTGCGAGCATTAGGCTTGTAACGGGTTAGGCCATGCGTCAAGGGCTTGGACTACAAACAAACTTCCTAATTTTGTTTCCATTTTTAGCAAAGATGGAGAGAAAGAAAAGGAATCAATTTTCTCTAGTTCACGTTAAAAGTGCACATTTGAGTTACAAATCTGAACAAGATTCGTTAAATTATTTAACTTAACAAGATCTAATGGCTTATTGTTTGAATGTGTAAATAAAATGTTTATTTTTGTTGTGCAGCAAAAGCCATAGAGTGAATGATCCATACCATCTTTGCTTATATTGGGCTCATCAGCCTTCAGGGTCCACAACAACAAAATATACATTTGAACAAAAGCAGTTAGATCATTTGATATAATGAGATCAATGACTTTTGTTCAAATATGTAACTTAAATGTGCATTAGAAAAAGCCTAAGAAAAAGAGAGTGAAAGGTCCATATCATCTTCACTTCTATTGGGCTCATCAGCCTTCAGGGTCCACAACCAAAAACATATATACACACACACACACACACACACACACACACATACACACATTTCTATTCACAAGTAAACCCAACATGAACTAGTATGTGTATGAAATGGTTAATAACACTTTCAAGTAACCAAAAACGCTTTTACAATGTTTTGCAGAATATGAAAGTATGTGTAGATTCTAAAAGAACTTTTCGGTGCTCTTTGGATAAGTATTTGGACGAAGTGTACTTTTTTTAAAAAAAAAAAGCACTCAAATTTTCATGAAGAAAATATACTTTAAATAAATAAAAACAATTCTAACAAAAACGCTAATGACTATAAGCGTTTTCTAGGTGAACACTCAAGAGAGTTCCAAGGGTTCGAACCAAATGGATGCAAACAAATGGATAAAATAGTGAATAAGAGAGCATTGAACATCAAGTACAATGATACGTTGAAGTCACAGTGTCACACACAAAGCATAACAAATTTATTATAAAAAAAAATTTTGCGTGAATTATGAACAAAGAGAGTTTCGACTTTCAACGAAAGTGCATAAAAAAGTAGTTGCACATTTCCATTATGTACTTTCTATGGCAATCGTTTTAAATGCATCTCCTTCGCCCGCACGAGAGACTTCTATGTTAGTCGGAAATAACGGCTTTGTTATGAAAGAGGAGGCTGACTACACCCATTCCTTCACAAGACAAAGCGTAGGCAGCGACCACACAGCCATTTGGCTGGTCATGTGTTGACATACTTTCATGTGTTTCTTTGTGTAACACACATATCATTAAAAATAAAATGATCTCTTTATATGGTTTTTGAGATTGTTCATTGTGAATTATTTTAGTTGTTACGTGAAAATTTTCTATTGAATTAAAGAAATCACTAGTCCAACTGGAGGATTTGATTTGACAAAAATGCCCTCAATTTAACAGAGATTTTTCATAGAATTACAAAATGATTGACAATGACAATCTCAGAGACCACAACTATTGGTTTAAATCTCAATAATCAAAGTAAAGAGTTATAACAATCTCAATGACCATTTTGATTTAAAAGACAAGTTGTATACAATTACGATTGATTATTACGTAAGTTTTAATCAAGAAGCTACACTTTATTCAATTGAATGATTGTATGGCTACTTGGATTTAAAAATTATTAATAAATAAAATTGGAGTATTGGAGCAAGGTTGTTCACGTGTACTCATCAACATTTGAGATTTTCAGTGAATTTGAAAATCAAAGTAACACATCACGTGTCATAAAATCAGTGTAAAAATATTTAAAAAATATATCTTATTTACACTTATATTATATTCTGGATACATCGAAATATCTTTGGCTAATATGTTGTAGCGTATACCAATCAATCTCTGGGCCAAATATTGGCCCCTCCTCCATGGTCCATCACCACTTGCTGAAATGGTCACAACCCTCAAGCAATTGAACATTATTTTCTCTAATATGTTGTGCGAGGGTAAAAGGCTTTTTGTCCAAGGATTTCAAATTTTCCACACGAAATTGAACATTATTTTCTCGGTTGGACAACTGTTTCCTTGATCTTTTTAGGACCAGTATCCATACCCTACATTTACTTTTATAGAACACTTTAGTTAGTAATTGTACAAAGATTAGTAGGGTAAGTTTATTATAGCCTGGATTACCGGATAGTGTGATATGATGTACGCCTTACGGCATAAAATTTCTCTCAAACGTCATGTAATTGATAGCAGCATTATGAAATGTGGTTAGTGTTTCTCCCTGAGGATATTGATACGGAGATTGACATGTAAGTTCTCGAAGAATTACATGGACCGATTCAAATAGCTCTAAACCACGAAACACCCTCTCGACTCGTTTGAGGTGTTCACTTACAAATTTAAGCAATCCGTATACCGTTGAAGTGATTATTTGATCTGTCAATGATATGAATTATGCCCTTGTGTGTTAAACTATGAAGTCTTATTCTGAATTGCTAGAGTTACAGTTTATGTCGTTGACATGAATCTCACTAAGACTCTGGAAAAGCTTGAGAAAACTATCTCGAACCTGAAGACGGAATTTGAGATGAAGGATCTTGGGAAAACTCATTTATGCCTTGACCTGAAGTTCAAGCATTGTTTTGACGGTACTTTGGTCTACCAGTCGAACTATACCCCAAAGGTATTACCTTTGAGTATACCTATGATATTCTATACACTATATGGAAATGAGACCCTTGAAGAGGTTATGGAATCCGAACTTCCATATCTGAGTTCAACTTTGCGCCTTGTTGTATTTAGCTCATTGCAATTAGAAAGGACACCTCATTTGCTGTTGATTTATTGGTAAAGATACAACACAACCTACACGCAACCATTGAATTGGTATTAAAGATGTTTTTCAGCTACCCTGAAAGGTACTATGGATTTGGGCTAATCCCAATGCATCCCGAGCAGATCTGACCCCCTGATCCTCGGAATGATGCTTGCCTTATTTACTATGCTGATGCATGTTACTTATCAAACCCGCACAAGGTAAATCCCATAATTGTTATGTATTTACCGTTAGGGATATCACAATATCTTGGTAGCCAATCCCATACAACCTTGTTAACCTCTACACGACGTCACTGTCGAAGTCAACCTTTCAGAAGCTTGTCTAAGGAATTGGTATGCCTAACCATTCATATGCAATGCTTGTAGTTCT